GGACCCTCACCACCCTCCAGGCCTTCCGCAAAGCCCTTAAAACCTGGCTGTTCTGACAGGCCTGGGGCTAAAGAGCTTCTGCCCCCTCTCGAATGGTATGGTTGTTGAGTGTTTTAAATTGTGGTAATGTTTTGTTCGTGTTCTTTTTTCTTATTTGTACCCCCCCCCCCCCTGATTTGGTTGTGAGCCGCCCTGAGTCCCTCCGGGGAATAGGGCGGCATAGAAATATAATAAACTCAACTCAAACTCAACACATTATTTTCCTCTTTAAACACCTGTACCTTACAGATAGTCTTCGGATTACAAACACTCCTTCAGCAACTATTCAAAGTTCCTCAGAGTTCCAGTTGCTGCAGGGTCTCCGAGGTCTCATGATAGCAAGTGGTCGGTGCTCAGCTTGCGATTATGACCTTGCAGTGTGATTGCAATTTCTGATATTCTTTGTGAGCTTCGGACAAGCAAAGTCAACAAGGAAGCCCACAGAGAGTCAGAAATTGTTCACTTTTTCGTCTTTCCACACTCTGTAACACTTGCCCATAGCGCATGCGCGCGCACACACACACACACACTACCTATGCACACATCCACATTCTGCAGGTCCTGTCTGTAGCATGGCTTGCTCGCCTGGGACTTCCACATCTTCCCGCTTATCGACCTAGGGTTATAACAGCAACTGGCACTGCCAGGATTCCCATGGCTAATTGATGTGGTCATGTGATATTGTGCTTTATGACAGCATCACTTGGCAATGGAAATTCTGGTCTCAATTGATGTTATAACACAAGGACCACCTGTACTTTGACTTCTGCTTGAAGCTTAGGGAGGAGGGTGGAAAGAAGCCCTACGCTTCTTGGAAAGCTATCTCCTTGGCCATGCTTCTTTATGTTGTTACTCCTGATCTGTCTTTTCCAAGGTAGCTACAGCGGGTTGTCTAGGCACTCCATTCTACAGATCCTTCTTCCTCATTTGCATGCTCCTCAGTCATACGTCCGTCCTTCCTCCTGAGTTCCTTTTTCTAACTTGGCTGCCTGATTCCTCTACAAGGTTTAATTCTTGCTCCTTGATGTGTATATTGCAGCTCCAATCCATGCAGAAGCTCATAGCATAAACACAAAACTACTTTGCCTGGTAAGGCTTCACCTCATAAATCTTGCCCTACAAGTCAGAAAGCCCTGCTCAGAGGGGTCTTAATTAATTTAGGAACCTTCTGATGGTTTAACGGTCACTTTTCATACTATTGGCAAACAGAAAAAACTTGAACCTTGAGCCAAACTATAATTCAAGCTCAGTGGCACATGCATGATTAAATACTCCCTTGAAAGCATTTAAAATACTTCTTCCCATACCTACTTCCTACACATAGTAATCTGTTCTGACCCCCTCGTCCTACACCAAAGCACGCCAAGACAAAGATACGCCAAGGATTTATTATCACACAGACAGGACCTTGGCAGCAATCCAGCACAGACTAACCTTGGCAGCAATCCAGCACGGACAAGACGTTGGCAGCAATCCAGCACAGACTAACCTTGGCAGCAATC